ATATAAGGGGTGTGTATATTTTTGTCCCGGGGTGCATGGAAAAGAACTTTCTTCGTGAACACCACATCCATTCTCTATAGGAATTAATACGCTCGTGTAGGAGTATGCTCGATAGACAGCTCACACGAGATCTTCAGAATCGATTGTTCGATTACGTCACTCAGTGCGATGGGGATCGAGCTTAGCTTGAACCAGTGGACCATAAGTTCGAAGGTTGTCCGAGTGAATCAAATGAAGTACTTCTATTTTACGTCCAACAACACTGAAATCTGTCATATTGCGCTTCATCTGAAGTCAGCATCATCTAGCGTTCCACCAAATCTTTAATGAATTTAACTTCTATTGAAAACACGTCATTATTACTTTGACGTCAAGATGAAGGGAGGACAGAGATCAGACATAATTGTTTACTTAGTTCGGATGACATAACACTACTGACCCTGGGCTTCATATTGAATATCTCCACCATCATCATGTCAAACACGATCGTTTTCATTCGAACACAAAAAATATCAATGTCCAGCCATTAGATTCGGAGTACACCTACCTCAGCCACCTGTACCGAATGATTTGTTGACTGAATAAGAAACCATTCACCGCTGACTTGACCCTGATGTGATCTGCAAAAGTTCAATTACCAATCATTGAAAGTAACCATTCATGTTCTAGCCCGTTTCCGAATTACGCTAGTAAGTGGTTGATCTGATCTGCCGGATCTGACCAATTGTCAGATATGAATAAAAGAATGGATTAAAGAGCAATTTTAGTTGAAAACATAACGCTTCATCGAGAAGAACTTTATCTATTACGCATGAACGGCATGTCTACACTTCCCCATTAACTACGGACTATAAATGCTGAACTAAATAGAAGAACACCTCAGTGACTGTTACCAAAGTAACACTCGAACTGCGTCTGGAAATAGGTTCTGTAAAAATCACGGTCAGTTTTGTCAACCAGCCCATAAAGTGGATTAGTTAAGCCATTGCGTTTGTGTAACCGTACTCCTTAAACGAAATCGCCCAGGCGTGAACCAAAACCACCCAGATTATATGTGTTCTCATTGCTTGACGCACTCACTCAGCCTGAATGGTTTTTCAATTGTTTTGATCCCACACATCCTCACGGCAGTTTGATGTTTTTGCTCTCGGGTGGGTCGCACTACATGTCTGGATCACCTCATTAGATTAACTCAGGTCGTTTACAAACATCTACTATTTGCAATATCTCTGATAACTACCTTTATATCGATTTATGTCATCTGACTTAAACGTTACTTAATTTCATATATATTAATGGAACATTCTATTTCACCTGACTGCATGAGTTTTGCACATGTACCTCCTTAGAAACAACATACCACACAGAGTTTCTCGTTAAGTAGCTAATAATCAGCCTCTTCGAAAGAAGACAGCGTTCCTGTATTTTGTATGATTTTTCTACTACCTCAACATTTAGAGTCGACAGTTGGACATGCAACACACAAAAAGGTCACTAGAGGAATACATAAATGTGAGAAGTAGATTGCTCTGGTGTCGTTCAAACACTTGATCTCCAAACCGCTGTTATGACGAATTTAATCATTTGACAACCGCCATTCACTGTGAACTCCTTCATTAAAAAGTCGAGTTTGAAGTCGCTTTAGGCCGGCTTATTGAAGCAAACATGCGATCAGAAAACAAAAGCGAAAACCATTGTATATAAACTTTTATAATGTCGAACGCAAAGCATTTCATTCAGTTAGATTCGCTGGGGCAAACGGAATGTGAACGCGGGTTCAATAATAGTTACTTGGCATCGGATCATTCTCGCAAACATTTAATAGACATTTCCGTTGTCATTATTTCTTTTCCAAAGGCATCATTTTATGGTTGAGAATGACAGAGGAAAGATTCCTTAGCAGACTGTAAAATTACGATACTGGCGATGTATTGTGGGATTCAGTTAGGAATATGCAGTATGCACATGATCAAGAATATTTCCATGATACACATTAAATGATTGAAATTTTTATTTTCTTTGTAGCCAGGATCTCTGATATTGCCAGGTTATTTGCGGCCTCAGCCGCTTTGAAGTCTCACAAAATCGATTTATCATCGAATGCCACCGTCTAATAAGCAATTGGTCATTTCATTTTTATATATTAAGCATACTGGAAATTTGGCACGTTTAAGATTGCCCGAGAGGTACGCGATTGAAATACTTTTGTAAGATTCGTGAAGTGTGAGGGACGATCTCCTTGGTACAAAATTTAGGATAAGCACGACTATGAACAAAAACTCAGTGTATTTCCACTTATCTTTGTTTTTTTTCATATTTTCCTTCTAGATCCGTGCGGCAATGCGAGTGATCTATCCAAGGGAGACCCCATGGGTGTGGGCTAAATCGCGTGTGTATTTGCGCGTACGTGAATTGCACAGAATCGTATTGTTGTTTGGCCTATTTTATCTTATTTGAACTAACTGTTACACGATTGTGAGCTAGCCAAACAAATCGCTGTAGTTCGGGATCCAAGGCGTAAATACAACCATACGCAAACACACGCTCTTTATACATCAGGTTCTTTTAATCCACTTGAGCAGAGCGGGAAGATGATATACACGGCGAGATACCAACGTTCTCAGTCGACAAATCAGACTTGTTTATCATTGTACATTATAGCACAGAGTAAGCCAAATGTGTGTAGATGCATTGAATAATCCACAACGAGAAGCGTATTGAGGAGATGGCGGAATAAACTCATATGGAAATCATTATTACCCCAAACAGACACTGAATCATTTTCTATGGTGATCAGTAATGCTGTACTAGGGATAAATAATGATTTTTCAGGTCAGTCATGTGGCCTGTAAATCATATTTTCACCACGGCGACCCAGTGTGTACACAGTCTATGTGAATGCAGTTCGCAAGGAACTCCATTTATCAAAATGAATGATCACCTCATTAGTCACGTGACCAAATCCTTGGGCCCATATATATGCAACGTAAGGAGACAACCAGGCAGGCAGTCAATTTAAACGCCAACAACAGGTACAGGCGATAAATGCATTCTGGAAGAGGTCACTCGGGGCATTTTTCAAGCAAGGAATCCGTCGGCGAGGTCAGCTCAATATCGAATTCGGACTGGTTAAAGAGAATTAATGTTGGCATGAATTTAATAAGTATGCCATACACACATTTATGTGTGTGTTTGGTGATAATTAATGTGGGGGAAAACACTGAAAAGCGCCATATGTGGTACGGTCAAACTGCCANCTGCCAATCAAGGAGAGAGTTCAAAGATTGTCTAAAAACATGAATTGATCAAAACTCTCCCCTTCAGCGCACGAAAACATTTTCACTACAGACCAAAGAAAAACGTTTGTACAATAATCCCCACAACCATCTGTAGGAAAATCCGGAATCAATATCTGCTCTTACGGGGAAAAAAACAATTTATGAAATCTACCGCACAAACGCATACATCAGGTGGTTGAATCGTATTTGCTAGGGTAGACCCCTGGTCTAAGCGTCAAAAGCAGACCAAACTGCTAAACTGATCCCAGAGCAACGTTATTTTCCAGTTCCCTGCATCTGTGTTACCGCATACATTAATAGAATCAAACGCTTCTCGGCCCAGCGAATGTCTGAGCACATACCAGAAGTGCCTACACAAGTGATGACGCAACCCATAGTGACAAATCAGGCAGTCCCAAAAAACTGAGCTTCTGTGGTTGTGAAACACTTTCTGGTAACATATTACCCAGGGCACCGATCGGGGAAAACCCGAAACCGATGCAGAACTTTGGATTACCGTAGCTTATTGTTGTCGCCCCCGACCCATGCACTCTTTGACCACCGGACATTCTATGCTCTGTTACTCATTCTAGTAGACCGGTTTTACGTAGCGATCGAGGAAGGCGATTAAGATGCTTACATTATAAACCAAATGAACTGGAATCGATTGTTCGGCGTTTTATGCGGTACTTAGCTTTGTGCAGTTTGTACAGTTTTTGATCTTCCTGGAATCGAGACGGTCCTCTGTGAATCCTTGTCCAGGAAATTAAATAATAGATGCGGGACGTAGTGTTACCACGAGAACAATCTAGAACAGTCCGCAGAAGGGATAAGGTTCAGAACTAGATGACGGAAGTTCGGAAACCATGGAATTGGTTTAACCGTCTTTGAAACCCCACCGTTAATGCACAATCCAGTTATTCACACTCAGAAATTTCTAGTCTATCTTGTTAGAACTCATCCGCAGCGCATGTCTATCGATCCAACCAGACGTTACATCCCACACCCCTCAAACGGAAGACGTGTTCTTACCACTGTGCCAACTAACACGCAATCACTGGGACAGACTCGAGTCACTAATGCAACTTTGTTCACAGGTCGTCTTTAGTAACAATCATTCAGTTTCTGACCGGATACAAACGAATAGAGACACAATTAATACCTGACTTATTCAGGTCGGAATTTGTAAAAATCACGCCACTAGAGCTGCTGAGCTAGATTTTCGCTTCATAATCACTTGTGAGTAGTGAGAATTCTGTAGTGTGGCAGTAAGTACTTGACGGGTTGGTTTCACGTGCTTCGCTCAAATAATTTGATGATAGAGAATTTGTAAGTTATAAACCCTTATTCCGTTTTGTGAACAGACTCATTGCCCCAACTGTAGCTACGTTAGGGCAACTAGTTGTTCTTTCCCGGCTATATGGCGCTTGGTGTATGATACCCAGCATGAAATATATCTGGATCGTGTCAGTCCCCATAATATTAAAAAAACATCGAGGATATATAAGCATCTAACTTATTTGCCTCTAAGTCACCTACCATTAGGTGAGACGTATGGGCGAATGTGCGGAGGAGTTTGGCAACACGATGCATTTCGTTATGGAATTTTCTTCAACAATGTGCCGTTATTCGTCACATAAGTGAGTTCTTTCGGTAGGATATAATAAAACGGACGCCAATAACCTTAGTCGGTGATGCACCAGATTGGAAGGTGTAAAAAAATGCTTATAGAATATTGTGATTTTTAGTCTGCTGGGATAATACCGGCCGGGGAAAGACACGTCCTATGCTCATTGTCTGGTTACTCACTGAAACAGGACCGTACTATTTATAATAAAATGCTCAAAGGTCAATTCGCCATGTATAGAGCAAATGAAGCGTGAACTGGAAAGTTAGGAAACACTGGATAGCTTTTTCGATCTAGTTCGGTCTCATCAGCAGTGCGAATCTGTCTACCCAACTGGGGATCAAACCCAGGACCTCATGGGCAGAAAGAAAGCATGCCAGTGAGGTCCCGGGTTTCAACTCCAGTTGGGTCGATGGAATCGCGCTGAGGATTAGACCCAACTAGGTCGAAATAGCTGTCCAGTGCTCCCTAGCTTTTCAGTTCACGCTTCATTTGCTGTAAACACGACGAAGTGACTTTTGAAATTGAAACGAATCCTCCATTAATCGCTTGAGATAAAATGCTCAATTTATTTTTCTCCTATTCTCAACCCTGGGATACGTCTGAGGTTGAATATCCATGTGGAAAGTAATTTTGGCATTGACCTACAACCTCAATAAAGGACACCCGACCAATGTCCACCCAAATGCACTTAGCTTATTACAGTTTGAAAAATTGTACTCTGTGCATTCAGACAAATAAGCAAATATCCGTAACTTGTGTACTCTATTTTGCAGGAGCTCATCCGAAAATACGTCCCGGTAAGTTTTAATTTTACTACCTTCCACAACTGACCGATGAGTAGTTCGTTTACAGTCTGGACAAATAAACACGTAACTGAAAAATATGATCAAAGCGGTATTTTGAAAAAAGTTGAAACAAAGGAAGCATGCAGTTTGATTTCTGGGATGCAACAAGCGGATGTTTAAATTCGTGTTCGAAAACAATCTAACTATTTGACATTAAAAAACTGTAAAACTAAGAAAGCAATGTGCAAACATTTTGGCAAATCATTATTAATGGAAGAATGGACGGGTCTTTTTAACTATTTGACTTACCAATACATATAGCTTCCTTATGTTTGTACCAATCCAATATAACAATGGTTTCTGGCGAAGCATGTGTAAATAATTTTTACTGAAAATATGAAAACTGAATTGACTGGGAAATTTGAAAACTTAGTGACTGCCTGGCAAAGTCCATACCAATGTAACTCCAATCAATTGGGCTTAAAATTTCAGGGATGACACTGTCAAAACAGCGAGATTCTATTTATTATCGGTTTAGAGGAGATAATTTAATTCGGTTTTTCCGAAGAAGGCTCATGACAATTGTAGTTTTCACTTCTGAAGCTGCAAACTCAGACTTTCGTTTCACCGCAACCCAGACTCTGAAACTCTTGATGTAAGTCACACGCCACTACACATGAACAGTGATTGAAAAATAATCGGATATCGTTTTACTCCTAGAATATCCAATTGACGAGCACATTCTTCTGCCAAAAAACAAAGGCCATCACTTCTTCATTTCCAAACTATTTTGATGCCGAATACCAGCCTCCAATGTTTTCCGGCAATTGACGATAACCAGTATTCCTCGTACGATTCTCCTTATGATTATTGATGCTAATGTGTTTGGATCTGCTACAAGCGTTTATTGACGGTGAAATCCACATTCTCAGCCTCATTGGTTGTTACAGACGAATGCGTTTTTCTCTTTAGGATCAGTATCCATTGATGAATCTGATCACAATTGATTTTATTGTTTGTTTGCTTTCAGGTTTATTCCCTCAGAACACTTTTGTTTCTGCTTTGTTTGTATCAAGTTCACACCGTCTTTTTCCTAAGTAGTCCAAATATAGGGTCATTTTATTGTATTCCAGGCTGCTTAATTTCCCAAACCGGGTGATGAACAGTGAATTTTAATACCATCACTCGTCGAAACAACAATCAGTATGCCTTCTAATTTTTTTCGCTATAGGAACTTCAACAAAAGATCGATCGTATCTCGCCGTACGGAGCTTATTTGGCTCAAGGACAAAAAATGTTCATGAAACTTTACAGTTGGGAAAATCGACTAATGTCTTTTATGTTCCTGGTGGGCATGTGGGTCGGCATCCTATTTGTACAGCCCTATATGATTATGGGCGGAATGATGTTCGGATTCGCCGCGTGTTGGTTCCTCACGATGGACTGGTTCAAAAGTCGTGCACGACACCGCTTATCACTCCCGTCGGCGGAGGAAAGTGAAGAGGTAAGACGTGAAAAAAGTGTAATTTAATTATTTCACCCATCACTTTATTAATTGCGGGATCAGTATTGGGTTCAATAAATGAGCAAACCTTGTAATCATAGTGCTCAATCTACGGGTTAGCATTGAGCTGTCACGGCGTGCTGACCCCGAATGATTAGAGTCTGATACCAGTACGACTGTCAATCGTCAATTGGTTGAGTCTTGTTTAAGCACTACCCAATTTGTGTCAGTTATTTGTCGGTGATTTATTTGTCAATGAATACACATATCGGCGCCCTGTGGGACTGAATAAGTTGACCCAACAGTGGATAAACATAATACACCTCTCGAAAAACCGGATAGATTTAGGTTATGTGATAAGTTGGATATGTTATTAGTTTGGTCAAAGAAATTCTAAGGTTCTGAGGTGAATAAAAAGATCAAAAGAATCCAGCGCACAGATTCTCGGGTAGGCGTCGGCCTTCTGCGGCAAACGAAAAAATAAGACCTAGGGTATTTTGAGGTCTGCGGAGGAATCGCCGTGCAATTTTATCATTCTAAAACAGGAACGTACCTTTCCTGTTGCAGAACAATAACTAAGATGATTGTTGAACTATTGTTGTTTGAATACCTGATGGCCTGTAAAGATTCATTGAATGACCCGCTGACGTCAAAATAGACGTATGGATCAGTGATGCATTGGTGTGACTGATATGCGACATAATGACGTTGTGCCGTGTGAAGTGTTGAAACTAAGTCGAACGAATGACATATGATAACTTGGGAGTTTTGTGTTTGAAATGACGTAATCGGGCAAATGGAATGAGGTTTCGGGTTTCTTTATCGGCATACGCAGCTTTCCATCTGATAAGAAATGTAAGTGGTTATCTTCAATGGAACCATATCTGGAATGTGACGTTGAAGCCATTACTAGAATACAGACCACCTTTGAAAACGTGACATTGGGATCAACCTGTCTAGTATTATTATGATGTTTAATGGATCCTGCAATTGGCTAGATCATCAGACCACAATCAAATCAAATGCTTGTAGTAATCAGAAGATAGACGAATCATTGATCACGAATCATAGTTGCAAATGATCCCAATGAATCGTAATAACAATCCTTTTTGGGAGTCCCCCGTCACCGAGAGGCAGGTAGAAGGTTACAGAAGGGGCGGTTAATTTATTGAGGAAACCTATAGAATTGAATAATATGTACAAAGAAACACACTTGATTTAACAGGTCTTTGTCAATAGCCTGCTTATACTCTTGTCTTCATAGAGCTTCCGTTTGAACCGCATGGCTTCTGATTAGTTAGCACTATTGGCCCGTGGTTCGTTGCCAAGAAACTGGTGTGTGTCGCACCGTGGCTGGCGCTATCTCGTAGGCCACGGTTACCACAGTGCTATTAGAATATTAGCATGAAAAGGATGTCGAGCATTTCAACACCTAAAAACCTCTGTCGAACTTGGGATTTTTCTTGCCAACATCGGGGAACATGTTTCTCAAGATTACATATTAATCCGTGTGTACGGTAATTCACGCAGAGTGAGTGCTGACATGCTAGAAAAGTTGATTTTATTTATGCTTATAGTGATAATAAAAGTTGTTTCTTTTTTACCCATATGTAAATGGAGTGACTGGAAACGTTTCATTTTGCTTTCCTAAAAATGAACGCGGTTGTAGATGGTTAGACAAGTTTAATTTGTCCCGGAGGATTGAAGTTCTCATTTTATCAAACTATTATGCGAAAGGAATACACGATAAATGATTTTTCCGTTCACATGTTGTCGGTTTCAACACTTTTCGTGTACTTCGACAAAAATAATGTGATTCTAGCTATAAGCATGATTATCATGCTCTAAAACAGGGTGAAGGCAATCGTCACGATTAATTAGTTAGTTTACTTAGGATCACAGATAGACTGAGCTTTATGACCGGGAGTGTTGAACCAACTAAGACCCCAATAGGATAGGCAAGATTGGACAATATGGAACTCGCATACCGCCACAGTGGGTAGCCCATAACAAACCCTTAACAGAAGAATTCCGTCACGTGATTTCTAATTTCCTTGATTGATTAAACAGAAGTCTGTCTAAACACGTAGCCGCGGCGTACCGGAGGTTTAGAACAGTTAACAGATATGTAACTATATCCAAAGGCTGATAACTCAGCAACATACTATCTTCAGCATACTCTATCCTAAACAACTCACTAATCAGTGCTGATATTTTGATTGTCCTGTTACTACGCCAACAATGGAGCTGAGGAAATAGTTGCAAAAAATTCTATTTTGGGTGCAAGTTCGGATTCAACGAAGACATGAGCAGAAACGTGGTTTCAACCATTGTGGTCAAATCGCATGAATCCTTTATGGGAATCAATAATTTGTGACGCTATCGTACTTATGTACTTTAGCATGAAATCTCATTTTATGAATGGGTAAAGGTTTTGGAAGCGTAGGAAGCAGGAGCACGCAAGATGAATAGTAATGGAGTGTGTGTTTGGATTTTGAAGTGATCAGTGAATTTCGCGCAGTTAGAACTCATAAATGGATCCCATCTGTTTTTGTACAGCGTAGACCCTTCAAATAAGCCTGAACAAATGTGTATGACACAACATATGAAACCCAGAGTTCAAACACATATAGCCGTGTTACCGACATTTTAAACGTCAGTAGAGATTCACCTAAGCCCCACTGGCCTTCCACAAACAGTTTAACGGGTTGGTTAATTATATTGTTTTGTTGGAATTGGTGTTCTTAGTAGGCACAGCTTAGTTTGTTTGATACTGGTGATGGACAGGCTATGTTTTGCAAACTGAAATAAATCCACTACCCCAAAGATCTAGACGATGCCGTTACTGATGAGCCACAATCGCTGGCATCCCCCTATCGATCACTCTGTTATGACAAGATGTTGAACTTAACAGTTTTGCATAATGAATTAATGTGTTCTATTTAAAATCCGCACTCCCTTTGTCTAAAGTTCCCATGTCCACCAAAAGAAAATTTTAGATTCGGTGTAGTCGTGTGCGTAATTTGTAGATATTTGGTTTAGTTGGTCATAAAACCTAACATACTTAATGATAGGGGCATTTTTGTAACCCAATGGGAAGGCCGATACCAAGATTGAAATGATGAGGCACACGGACATGTATCCTTGAAAAAGGTTATCAATGTAGCAAAGTCAAACGAATGACCCAGGCCAGTCCGAGCCCGAGATCGACCGAACAGAAAAAGAATGAAAATAAACCTTCATATTTGGTGATGCATTTGGCGCAATTTAAAGAAGACTCTGAAAACAAACTTGTCTGTTTACAAATTCTTTTCCAGTTACCCACACGTGACCTGGCAAAATACCTCGAAAGCTCAAACGTATTGAGTGAATGGGTCAATCAAGAATGAGCGGAGCTGGGAGTCTGATAAAAACTTGTTTGAAGCTGAAGAACGAAAATATATTTTCAGTTAAAAAAAATATAGGTAAAACCAGGAGGACTTGGTCTCTTTCTAAAACAAAACAGGGACGATAAAGCCTTTTATCCCGTGCTCTGTACCAGTGACAACGCATCACATTATACCAACAATTACGGGAAAAATTGTCTTGGGGATGCAACCATTCACATCATATCCGAATAGGAGTTTTTTTCATCCTGAGACCAAATGTGAGGTTCACAATGATCACTGTTGTTTGTTCACTCAATAAATCGACAAAATTACTGAGGATGTGGAGGCCTAGGGCAGGGAAATTTGTGCCTGCATCAGTTGTATTTGGATATGCAGAGGAAGGATGGTTGAGACGTAGTTTTACTGCTTCAAGCTAGCATTATGCAAGAGAGTAAAAAAGCCTCGGTCACCTTCATAGTGTGAGCTGTTTACTCTATGTGTGTAACCACTACCCTGGTGGTAATCGTTCTATTCTTCACTCATACCGAGCCTTGTTCACTAATTCGTTCGGACAACCGCATGATCGGGCGGCCTAAGTACATGCATGTATCACAGGAACAAATAAATGAGTGTACACAAAATACGAGGGCAGAGTCGTGTACTTTGTCCTTCAGTCACATACACAACCGTGTTGGATGCGAACAACACATTGAGGATTTACTGGATAGAAAATGTTACCAATGCGGATGGATAAAATCCCCTTTGAATCATCTGAGCTAATGCGTACCTTGGGTGTACCACCCTACCACGATCCCGTTTTCAAATATTCACAGTGCACAAAATCGTGTTGTAGGCTAAGTACTTTGGATACCCTGGTCGATCTGAAATGCCGGAGCTGTTCCACTGACCTGCCCCATCCCATAGGTCACGAACCAACTACTTTTATCTCAGGATTTCCCCTATCTGGATGACCCCATAAAATCAGACACAGATTAAAAATATCACGAAATAAAAGGATTTTTTCCCCAAACAGTCCCAAAATGTGAATTTTTATTCCTCATCGCAAAACGTGTAAAAATCTCAATAGGGCTGGCGTTGTGAACGTTTTGCAGAAGAAAATCATCAATTTTTATCGGGGTTTTGAGATAGAGACAATCAATCCACAGCTCGGATGACCTGCAACCGACTTTGCAAATGTCACAAAGACGACATCATTCGATGTGCTCGGGCTGGTAAAAACCGCATAGGCGAAAGGACTCTCAAGTTTAGTGTGCCCGTGCAGTTCACAAAATATAAGCCAACACTCAGGTGCCCGGAAAACACGAACGGCAAAAGTGCTACTTCATGATTCTTCTGTCACAGTTAGGCGGTATTTTGAGAGAAACTGATAAATTCTCTCCATTTCATGCTTATACTCCAGTGTTATACGTTTTGGTGGCGAACATTCTGTATAACATGCACTCATCTCTCAAGCAACTTGCATTTGATATTATTATCCCATGGGCAAACTGGTAGACTCTCACCAATGATCTTCAAATTCGGTATTATCAAATTTCACACGGAACTATTAATACCGATCGTCAGAAAAACGCAAAGTGTTCATCGTTGTTTGTCGCTTTCTTTACAGGATGATTACGAGGAATACCTGAACAATGAAGTGAGTCGTACATCAACTTTGGTGAATGGTTCTCAATAAAATCCAATTGTAAATTAGAGAGTCAACTGTATGTGATTCAAACTCACGTGTTTCTCAATCACGGTTTTATATAGGGTGGTTGTTTTGTTTTCAACATGTTCTGTCTGTTTTGAAGCAACATCCGCTGAAGTGAGAACGTTATCTCGTTGCTCTTTTTGCTTATTTTGTCAGTCTACCAGACATGTTAGAGATTGTCTCCTATCACCAAATCATTGCTGCTCACAAATCCAACATCTCCATCAAATCAAGTCATGTTGTGCCCTTTCCCACAAAATACACTTTCGTTTGTGTTTGTTTGTGTGACCTCGCTTGTTGTGCAAGTGGAATTGTTCGTAACCTCGGTTCACTACAGCAGCTTGAGCAGCTCAGATTGGGCAGCTCAGACTGTCAATTAACCGGTTCAAACTCAATCCGTTTGTATTGTAAAAGTAGTTAAATTCTCTCATAAAAAATACTTTTATTTGGGCTGTTCTGTTTTGATTGGTTGAACAGGAATTTTTGGATGAGGACCTGGATTCGGAACCGGAAGAGCAGGATCAGAAATCCAAGGTAAACTCAGTTTCCTATTACCGATCCGTGGATTATTTCAATATTAAGTAAATAGCACTCATCAACCTGTTTTCGGTGTACCCATTTCCTTTGGCGCTTGAGTGATGGCAGTCCAATGTTTTGAATTGATCGCTTTAGCATGCACTAGTCTTCCACGGTAGATGTTTAAACTATGTCCAGAAAAATACATTGATAGAAGGTAGTTTTACTTCTGCAACAGGCTGATTTGGACAGAATTTTGCGGTGGGCATTTCTTCCAGTTAAAAACGTAGTAGTAAAACGACCGAACAATGATGAGTTACTGGTAATGACAATTCATGACCAGTTCACAGCTTTATGGCATTTAAAACGCAGTTCACGAAAGCCTAGTCCTTCTTTGTCTCGCTAACGGCCACATCATGCAACTATCTTCTTAGTCCCCCTCGTCCCTAAACATTTAGAGGTTTACAGTTTCATACAAAATTAGTCACCAAGAATTTTACGGGTTAAATCAAATAATTCTAAGAAATATCCGATTTATCATAATGGTTAGGCACAACCCAGTAGATTAGTTTACTACTGTTGTATCTGCCAGAAATTATCACCGAACCTGGTCCCACAATGTGTATCCCAGCGATTCCAGGTAAAGAACAGTTGCAAACGGTACTAGCCTTTACTGCTAGCACCAACAAACCGTGTGTTGAGTGAAGGGGAAACATGTAGTATTTATGGAGTTGTCTATGGACATTTGTTCGGGGTTGGGGTTACGTGGGCGGTAATAGAGGGAATGCACAAATCGCGTGACCGTGCTCCTCCATCCGTTACCCTGACGCCCACGCATCAAGTAAAACCGAGAAAACGCCAGCACTTTTACATGGATTCCTACCGTGAGGATTCTCAGGGGAAGGTTAGGCTTCCCCTGACAACTACTACCCGGAAAAGTGGGGACAAACATTCCCCTTTTAGATTTAGTTGACAGTCGCTTTCTTGCCCATTAAACGGAACGTTTTATATTAAATAGTTCAAAAGGGAACTGAAGTTGTATTTTATTATATCATTGTTACAGTCAGTTAACACAATGCTGAAAGTCTAAAATTATTCCGTTTATTATCGAACCCGTTTCGCTTTTTGAGTAAACAACAGCAATTTTATGTAAGCAACCATGCCACATGCTACAAAAATTAAGTGATTTCAAAGAACATTTTTCAGAGCTGGTTTAAAATGCTACTTTTTAAATAACCAATCGTAACCAGTTATAGTTTCTTGACTATGATCTGAGTGTGTGAAAGTTCTGTCGCTTTTAGGATAAATATAAACGCATACGGTAAGCGAACAGCCCATAGTTGCTATTCGCTTGAGTCTGGGTTCTGTTAGGTTCTATTTGTTATTTTACATGGGAGTAGCGGAGGATTTGAATTGACTGTATTGCGAAATTCGTCGTGTACTGAGCAAATGAAGCTTGAACTGAAAAGCCAAGATGCCATGGACAGCTGCTTCTACTTGGTGGGGTCTCCTCAGCGGTGCGAACCCATCGATCAGATTGTGGATCGAACCCGGGACCGCATAAGTGCGAGGCAAGAATGCTACCCACTCGAACACCGAGCAGTCGATGAAACCATTTGTTTAATTTTCCTTATCGACCAAATCGCACGAACCATCGTTGCGAGCTTAATGGAGGTATCGCAATTTATATATCTCATCACTAGTGACCAGGGTCATGACTCAGTTGGAAACAGTCCAAGCGGATTGTATTTGACATCTTACCTTGTTATTTTGTCCTGCAAAGTTGCAACCGGAGGAATTCGCTCATGCTTAGATCAGTGCTACAAATAACACAAACAATACAGTACTCGCTTTGTGAGAAACCATTTGAGTAGGATGATCATAACTATGATTGTGAGCATGGCTTTGTGTTCCATTCTATATACTCTGTTATCGCCGCTCTGATTTTCAGCATGGTCGGAAAAAGCCACTGAAATTCAAGCTGGAAAAAGCGCGTGAAGTTTTGGGAACATTGCAATCCGCCATGGAAACTGTAGCCTCGATCTTAGAAAAGATTGACTGGTGAGTGTGAATAGATTTCGCATTTATATCGTTCGTATTTTATCTGAAAGTTTGGTCTGTCAAGTTATTCACTTGTACTAATCTTAAAAGTTCACTAATGATGAAATCATGTGGAGAATGAATATAAGCAAGCACCATCCTTATCACTGTCCGCCGTCGGATATCTGAAACCACAAACTTTTGGAATTGATGTCTCCTAGTATTGTTACTAACCATTTGCATTAACTCTTCCAGCTCAAAGAACTCTCCAACATCAGCATCTGCATCGCCGGCTGCAGTCATTCACCATAAGGTCCAAGTAGTCATTCTATATTCGGCGTGTTTTACGGTATTATAGGTTCAAGTGAACTTTCCCCCTAAGAGAAATAACACATCCTGTAGTACATCCTCTTTTTTATGAGTTGGAACAATTATCTAAACATTTTTTAAGCAATTCGAGGAAATTAGAGTAGTGCATGTTTAACTGTTGCTGTGCATGCATGCGCCTATTGATACATACACAGCCTGACACGCATTCCAATACAGTAGATTGCCGAATTGCATCGAGAGATATCCCCAATAATTGATGACATCTGCACTTCTTCCACATATCTTGTTTATTTCAGTTTAATCAGGTGGCAAGTTCCATGGCTCAGCTTACTATTTTTCTTGTATCTTGCGGTGGTCACTTTGTTGACCTACTTGATACCAATAAGATTTCTTATTGTGTGTTTTGGTGAGTAGAACATTTTATTGACCGTGCATTCTAACCAGATGATCGCGGTGCTAGTCTGCTCTTTCTCACAAATTCTGTCTCTCCATCTCTCTGTCCTTTTGTATATGTATGTATGTATGTATGTATGTATGTATGTATGTATGTATGTATGTATGTATGTATGTATGTATGTATGTATGTATGTACGTATGTATGTATGTATGTATGTATGTATGTATGTATCTGTATGTATGTATGTATGTATGTATGTATGTATGTATGTATGTATGTATGTATGTATGTATTGCGTATGTATGTATGTATGTATGTATGTATGCAAACGTTTGCCTGTTTCCATCTATCGCCTCACTTTTTATCCTAATGTTCTTTAAATCCAATGGTGAAAACTCGGTGAAATGGGTGAAATATAACAATGCAACTAATGTGTTAAGAAGCATTCTAGCAATCCTATTGAATTTTTAACTATCATAAACAAGCATAAGACGAACACCAGGATGTTTTCTGCCCGCCTTGTTAAAATCACTTTGAAAACAGATAAACGACCAAATCGAGTCCCTCATTTTGTCAGCCATTTTAATCTTCTATTGAGTGGTATGTGTCCAGTCCTCTGCTATTTCACGACATAAACACTACACCGATTCAACACGTAATGTTTCAGATTAGGTCAGGGGATGATTCCACTTTTCTGATAATTGTTCAGCTGTAAAAGCACTACTAAACAGAGATTGCTTTATCTTGTAATTTTAATTGCAATTTAATTATATTTGTAATAACTGCTATAGGCACAAAGCCCAAATTTCAGCCAAAAAGATACAAATTGAAGATAGCATAACAGGAAATTTGAATAGCAAAAATGTTAACAGTCTGTGAAAACCTGTTCCTTGTTAACTAGAATACTTAAATGGGGTACCGTGGTTGTGATACATGTTTATTCGAGAGGAAACACAAGGGTATCTGGACCTAGTCGACGAATGGGAAAACCAAGAAGTTAAATCTGTGCGTAGTGGATATATGGAGCCTATAAGAATCTTATGAGCAAACTTTTCATATGCATTCACATAACATTTGCACAGTTTAGTCACCAACTCCTCCAGCGGGATTAAAGAAACGCGGCTAACAATGGTCGGTCTATGTCGAAGCATTTTGAAATCTTTCTTAGGAGATAGGAAAAACGGGTGAACAAAAAAGTGAAATGGGGCAAACACATTTGTACACGAATTTGGAGATAGTCGATCGTTGAATACGAAACCGGTAAGGTCTACGGATATGAAAAGAAAGTCGTCGTAGTTTACTGACGATACATTGAATGTGAGAGGTCCAATGAATATTAGCATTGATAAAGTACCCCAGGTATTTTATATAGCTTACTCGGGTTACTGATTCAGAACCAATCGATGCCGGTTCAGCTAGGGAAGAAGAACGTGGTGATGTAAAGGGACTTTGAAAGTGTTTCGAGAGATTGAAAGAGACTGGACATGGCGACGAATTGATTAATCTTTCTTCAGTTGTCAGAAAAGTTTGAAGGATAAGAAGAATCGGAGATGGCCTGACATAAAACCACATTGTCATAGTATTTGAAGGGGCGCTGGCAGAAAAGTCACTAGTATACATAGAAAATAAGTACGGGGAAGGGTCAGCACCCTGGAGTACCCCAAAGTTGTTCATCAAGGGTTTGGACTTCCTTCGACCTAACCTGAGACATTGATTTCTCCCAGGAACGTAATAACTAGGCCAAGAAATAACTGTCTAGGACAACCGAAGGTCTTCAGTTTGCAATGAAGAAATCAAGAAGGAATAGAATCAAAAGAAGATAAGTTGTCCAAATTTACAGAACGAACAGATTTTGCAGATTCGTTCAAGGATTTAGTAATTTTATGCACTGGTGAGGAAACTGCATCAAGGTGCATCTGTGGTCTACAGGAAGAATAAAGAGGATCATACGAGACATCAAGTGAGGACTGAATGCGGGTAAGGACAACATATTCTGCTAGTTAAAGACCAACAGAAGTTAAAGCGATAGGAGGGATGCGTTTGGTTAGAACTTTGGAAGTAAAGAAGATGGGAATGGGAACAATTTTCAACAGTCCAGCGTGGGGCAGGTTTTTAAGGAAGTGTTCAAAAATGATCCTAATATTTCACTGAGAGAATAAGTTCGATATCTCAGAGGGGAAGATGAAAGACAATCGGGACCAACACGGCAAGTGGTTTCCGTGGTGTGCAAAAACCCAAAAGTTTTTTCGAGACGGCCTCTACTTGAACGACATTATCCAAAAAATGGCTTGATGTTATCGCTTGATGGGCGGATATATGTTGCGTTAACATTGTCCAGAGAGAACCTCAGACTTGCCACTCCCAGAAGAGTTGATTTAGGAGATCACTCCACCTTCTATTTTCCTCCCACAGTGCTTTATGTTTCTTACAAAAGCATTTGAAACCATTGATTCCAATTAATGAGTTCTCAACATTTTGATTAGGCCAGGATACATGAAAACAAACGACACCCGTGCTGCGGTGGATGCATGAGTCTAGCGTGCACGGTAAATCCGTTATCATTGCGAAAACCTACCTGATCTTCGTGCTGAACAAAGATGGTACAGTCATTTTCGATGAGAGTGTGTGACTAAGCGTTGATTGCAAGTAGCCGCGCTTGCGTTTTTACCTTTAGGGAGGAACTTGAAAATTAGCCAATGAGGATAGTATTAAGCAAATCATGCTTAAAGCTGATTAACTGTGCCCGCAAATAAAACATTCGAACGGTCACTGTGTAGTATTCACCAGGAGAACATCATGCCGACAAGGGGGAAATGTAGAGCAGACAATCGAATAGCTACACCACAGTGTTTCACTAAAACACCCAGGGGTCTCATACTATTCCGAACTACAAATTCATGCACTTGGAAGAAAGTAACGCCTTAAATGTAATCAATGCAATTCAAGGAATCGTTTTTATGCATCCCCAGGGGTAAAACTCATGGCATGGCATTTATGATTCGTTTAGATACGCAGCTTGGACAGATCACATGCAATGAGCTTATAATTCGTGAGAAATCTAGCGAGCAACGGAACAAAAAAACGCCTTTACGGCCCAGTCCGTGTCTTTATATTTTTGTAACCAGAACCGCTGGATGAAAAACAAAGATACTGAATAAGATCAGAATATAGGAGATGAGAGCAATCAGATAGAATCCTCTGGGAGAACTCTTCGCAGGCTTTGAAGTGGTGCACCACGAACTAGTGTACCAGATGTTCCCGGGGAATAGGACTACATACCGCAATAGACGTGAGTAATTGAGGGGGTTTAGTTTATGGCCTTCGATTAAATAGATCGGGGAACATAAAGGAGGAACCATAAAGCCCGCGGGGTAAAATTCAGGCAAAAATATGAAGCTTTCTGAGTTGAATAGGACAGTGATCTAAGAAGCGAAGCATAAAACATAAGCCTTCTGATGTTCAGGAACACGTTATTGACGAGATCAAACCAACGGAAGTTATGCAGAGATACCACACCAAGATATCTAACAGATCTAACAGACGGTTATCTGTCCATTTGGCCAGTCAAGGTAGATAAATTTGATTAGCATTGTGCAGTACATAGTATTTGTCATCTGTCAAAAGGGAGAAAATCGCATCATGAAAATTGTTCGGGGTTCATTTCTACGTGCCTTTGTTTCGGACCACTCCACAATTTCTTCTATGCAATCTTGTAGCATTGTCTAAAATGATGAGTTGAGGTAAAGTAATGCAAATATTGCATCGTCAGAGTGCTTAGTACTAACAGAGGAATTGTTCAGATGTGTAGAGGAAATTTAAGGGGAAAATATAAAGGGGGATAGTATAGCGCCCTGAAGTATCCGTTGTAAGGAGGGCAGCCATGATGATGTACGTCCTTCCAGCGCATGAACTACCAACGGTTGGAGAAACAGTTAGCCAAGAGTTCCATCATAGGAGGTTGAACGCCGCCTGAGGAAAGGATGTTTAGCAATATTTGCCTATGTATGGCATTGAAGTTATCATTGCAATTCAGAAAGCATAAACGGATGGTCTTTCTTTTCCTTTCAAAGGCTGACAAAACGAAGTGTAAAAGAGAAGCAAGGGAACCCAAGATTACCATGGGAATCGGTATATTCAAATATTGAACTGGGTGGACAGGGTTTTAGTCAGCAGTCCTTCAAACACCTTTTAAACAATTAATCTGCAGGTATTAGAACAAAATTTGAGGAACCCTTCTTCAGTTTTGGGGTGATTGAGGCTAATCTCCAGCAGGTGGGAATAACTTGCTACAAAACAAA